CTATCTATCTATCTATCTATCTATCTATCTATCTATCTATCTATCTATCTATCTATCTATCTATCTATCTATCTCCTCCACCCACCCAAGATCAACCTATCTTCTATCTCCAAAGGACTTGTCACTTTGCTCAGATGGTTACAGACTGTGGCATGAGAGCTCTTACATCAAATCAATCTGTAGACAGGATGCAGAAAACCACATTTAAAGAAGGAGGGGAGGCAGGGACATTTTATGGTATGTTACTTGCTATAAAAGGGAGCAAGGAAAAAATTGAACATTTTAAGTTGGCCGCCTAATTTGATTTTTCTGAGTTTAGGAGAGACCAGAAATGAAATGTCATTGAAGGAGCTTCCGATCAGGCAACCTACTGCTACCAGTTAGAAAACACCATTGTGCCGTTGTATTGAATGTGGAGAAAATCCACTTCAGGAAATTCAGATATTGGAAGGGTGAAAGATTTACCTGGTCAAGCAGACACACTGGAGGCCTGGGAAAACACCAAGGAGTCAACCAGAAGGGTGAATAGTTTTCTTTCAGATGGGTTTTTATAAGAGAAGATAGTTGTCAGCCCCACTAGATGGACCAAACCAGAAAATCAGCTTCACAGGAAGGCTAAAACTTCTTTTATTGATTGGCTATAAGAACAGAATCTTGCTCTTCTGTTTGTGCTGGATCTCCTCCCCGTTCTTACACTCCAATGAAGTCTGCCTGAGCTGCTTTCAGACCTTATCTGGTTGTTCTGGACTTAAAAAACGTTTCAGCCCCTTTTGCTTAGGTTCCTGCGTATTTCCATCAAGGTCATCTTCCTGACGCTCAACAGCAGTGGATTTTTGCTATTTTACAGGGCTGGATCCAGGGTATTTGAAAGAAACCAATTGCTGTACAGATTTGATTTCAGGGACTGAGATCTAGATAGCACAAAGTTATTTGGGTGGGTGGGTGTTCATGTCAGGTTGAAGGAGAAAGTAGTTCCTGTGCTGACGGTCACTAAGATCAACCTCTTCAGGAGACAGCTGCTCGTTCCTTTTTCCTTTCCAGCTTCCTTTTAGATCTCTGACCTTGTTATATACAATAAAGATCTAATGAACTTCATTCCAGGAAAGGGTTGTAGAGTTCAGTACATGCTTGCCCACTAGATCAAGCTCCCTATCAAATCAGTGGCAAATCAGGGTTTCTCTAGGGCAGTGTCCCTCAACTTCAGTAATGTTAAGATGTGTGGACTCTGGGAGTCCAAGTCCATACATCTTAAAGTTGCTGAAGCCAAGAACACTGCTCTAGAGCCATGTTTCCAACCTCAGCAATTTTAAATGATTTTTGGGGGTTTGGCTTGGGCAACGAAGAAATATGCCACTTCTTTTTCATCATTAAATTTTAACTTAGGTATCCAATAAAATGATAGAACCTTACAATGTGATACAATTGTTTCAGTGGAAATAAGCAAATAAAACATAAGGCCATATTTTTAATGGGATGGAGGAACTTGCTTACGTTTGCATTATGGAAAATCAAGGTTCCATTTTGAAGACATTTGCCTTAAGTCACCTTTTCTTACGATGTTCTTAAAATGCTGCTTGCAAAAACACCGTGTGCTGCGTTTGGTGCTCTCAATCCTATGACAGCTGCCCTGAGGTATCAGCTCCTCTTCTGTTCCCCTCTGTTGCAATTCCTTCTGCAAAGTGATGTTCCTAGCTTTGCATCAAAGCAAAGCAAACATAGTAGGATTTAATTTTTAAAGAAAAAAGTACATTCAGGCTTTGTACAGGCTCCTGGAACCACTGCATTGCTTTATATTCTGCATACTTTTGCATCAAACTGGTAGGCCTGCTTGGAAAGGACCCCATCCATTGTCTTGGGGTTTGCAATCCCATTTTGAGAAATACTGCTTTATTGAACAGGCTATAGTTTGCTGGGTTCACCCAATATGCTATGCCATAAACCACAGTTTACAAAACCACAAGGGCACTGTTCACGTACCACACAAAATCAAAGCCAAATGAAAATACATTTTGGCCTAGCAGCATGATGCCTGAATCCAGTCAATGAAACAAAGTCAGTTTAAATCCAAGTCTTCTTGCTTCAGGAGTCAAAGGAAGCAGCAACTAATTAATCATTCAATATGTAGATTGGAAAGTGTAATTCCAAGGTAAGCAGAAAAATATCTCATTATTTTCAAGTATTCAGTTACAGCACAAGAGCCTCTGACGAGATAGTTGAAGAGGCATTTCACTTAACTCAAATGTCTTTTATTCAAATAAAATAGGAACAATTTTCACCCATAATGTTACAAGCAGGATATGAGTGATTATTCATAATTGAAAAATGTCAAGTTATTTAATAGTGATCTAAACTCAGGCAAGCTTTCAGTTTTAATACAGATATAAAGTCTGTTGACTCCCATTTTGAATCTGCATGAGGGCTACCTCTCCTCACTCACCCCACACAAAATTCCCCAGCAGAATAGACACTAAAATGGATTGAGGATTCGTGTGCCATTTTCACGAGAGGCCATTTATAAACTGATGGATGCATATGAATCCTGCATGCTTGTTTCGAAGTTTTTCAGAGATGTACAGGGTAGCAGCCTAAATCCTCCCAGCCCAAATCTGTTTTTAGGAGCGCTGGCTCATTTTACAACTGAAATTAGCACTGCATAGAACTGGGCACTATGCTTTCTCAAAGCAAACACACCCCTTTTTAGTTGCTCAAGTTTTTGAGTTCGTGGCTTCTATGTTTCATTTATTTTTACTTGATCGTCTGTTGTTTCATAAAGTACTCTGAACATTTATTTGTACCGAAAGCCGAGATTATCAACGTATTAATTCCATAAATACACCTGTCCAAGTAAGCATTATTCAGAGTAAAGCAGCTTCTCCCTCAACCTCTGTTCTGAAGAAACAGACAGATCCTAATTTAGCCAATTAAGGTCACATATATACCATGTTTTTTTTTTCCTGGGTGGTGCCTTCGAGTTAGTCTCAACTCCTGGTGACTATATGGACAAGGCCATGCATAAATTAAGTTCTACAAATTTCAGCCGCTTGCTATAAATATAACTTGACATTTGATACTCACCGCAGTAAGCCGCAGTGTGCTTTGTCTTGGCTTGTCAGATTGACTCCAGCCAACTATGGTCTATCCAATAAACGACTGAGAAGCAAACCACGGCTGAAGGTGACATGTTACCTGTCTCAAAATCTGGCCAATCAGAACAATCTTACCACATTAATACCTTGAAAATCTAATACATTTATTATGCAATAAGACACAGAAGGTCATAAAAGCACAGGGCTAGGACAAGAAATATTAAGACTGATATGCCACTTTGTACTTGGTATACATTATACAGAGGCTTTAATGCCACCTGCTGGCGCACCAAAGACCTATTTTTGTTGCTGCAAGTCACTGACAAACCAGGCTGGTGCTCTCCAGATGTTCTCGACTGTTCTGATCATCCCCCACCAATAAGGTCAAGGAGCATGCTAGATAAATTCCACCTACGACAGCTGGGCATTAAGGGGCTGGGGAACTGAGATTAAGAACTCAAGTGGGCTTTTAAATTGTTTGAACTGATTATGCCCAACATTTCTTAGCTGAATTCTAGTACCCACCCCAACTACTTCCCCATCTGTCCCTTGGATTTAAAGTAGGAGACTACAGTGCAACATACAATTGTGCTGATTACCCTGATCAATCCAGAATTTCAAGAACATCTGGACAAGAGATCTCCGAAGTACAAGATGAAAGGACTCTGGATCCCATGTCATCTGATGGGAGGCTTCCTTTTATATTAGACTCACACACCACTTAGGTTCCCAGTGCCTGGTTCAACACTCAGCAGGAACGTGACTCATCCTGTATAAGGGAGTCACAGAAATCCCTTCTATTCACAGAATAACCTTGACGAGGACAGAATTCTAGGAGACCCATGTCCTGCCCCAGACACAGGGTCAGAAGAGGACAGCAGCTTCATGGCCAGGAGAGCAGCCCTACAAGTGTGAATTAATGTCCAACAAAACAGTGGTAGCATGAATGGAGAAATCATCCAGGCAGTCCCAACAAGTTTTTAATCACTCTTCGGACTTGTTAGGGAATCGGTTGCATAGCAGAGAGTGGACAACACATGAACCAAATATTCAGCTGACAGACCAAAAGCCCAACAAACCCACCTCCAGCTACTCCCTGTCAGATTGATAGGCAAGAGAATCCTCCCTCAATCTGGATCATATCTATCTTCCCTTACAGATAGTACCGATGGACAATTAGCTATTTGCTATACATGGTTGGCCAGAATCTGAATAAAAATGCACAGTAGCTGAATGTAAACAGAAAAGTTGAACTTAAAGATTATAAATGGCTTCGAGCTCTAAAGCTTGTGTTGTTTACACAACTGCAAATCCTCAATGCTGGAATGCAACATATATGATATTAAAAAGGAAAAGGTGTTCACCCACAATCCTTCAAGGCCTTTAGAAATGTTAATTACCCACTTGAATCCCACCTATACCTTAATTCTCAATTTCAAAAAGATGCATCTATTTTTTCTTCCTCTCCACTGCTTCAAATAAAGAAAATGGTTATGACCGAAACAGTGAAAATATCAGCCAACCAAAAACAATCCTGGGTGTTACCAACTTTTTACATCACCTCTGGGAAGAGTGGGGCTCAAACCAATAATGAGCTAATTTCCAAACCAAGTGTTGGTTCCCCTTCAATGGAGGTATCCTAGCAGAGACTAGACCCCCTCCCCCAAAATAAACCCACCCTGTCAGGAATGTTTAATATAGATTCTTGCACTAAACAAGAGGATTACACTTGGCCTAAATGGCTCTTTAGAATTCTATGAACTTTAGGAATTCATATTGTAAATATATGTACACCAATTTTTATTACACTACCTCAGTTTTTAAAGGCAATGCTGCACTGTGCTGTTTCTGGAACGTCATGGTAATAAATACTCATTGGCTTAAAATACAAACTAAAAGCCAGGAAGTATTCAGATTCTACTTCCATGTGAGCTTATTTGGTAATTTTAGGGAATTGGTGCCCCTAATCTAATGCATAATAACAGGGGGTGCAAATGAAGTCCAGACAAAAATCTGAGCTCATCTGAAAAATCAATCTGACTCCATCATGCAAAATGATTTAGAAAACTGATTCTATTTTATTTGACATCCAAATCAGCCCCAATCTGATTTGGACAAAGTTCAGAGCACTGGCTATTTGCAGGAGCCTGACAGTGAATAAACGGTATGGCCGAATGAGAAAACTGTTGGGGTTATCAAGAACTACAAGCAAGGATTAGCAGATTTGGGTGGTTCCCATGATGAGAAACAATACAAACAAAAGGAGGTGCTCCCCTTCAAACAGAATTCAATGGAAACTAATATGCCTGGTTGCCTCCCAATCTAATTGAAGTTGAATAATTCATTCATTCCCCAAACAAACAAAAAGCAAATAAAGCTCGTGTGCTATGTGTGTGTTTACGGAGGAACCAGATAACTGGAATTCCTACGCTTTTCAGCAGAGGTGGTAACTTTCTAGCTTCAAACCTACTTCCAACTCTTAAAACTCTCTTTTATATAGATGTTAATAGCCCTTCTCTGTGGTGATGTAGACAGACAGCCAATTTTTGTGCCTTGTTCTTGTTACAATACAGTAGAAACACTGACCCAGCATTGGACCAAGTCTCTACAATTCAGGAATGTGTAATACAATGCAGGATCTTATGAGCTACAGATACTCATCATATTGCCCCATAGTGAGCTTCAGTATATTTCTAACCCTCTATGCTAGTCTAATTAGGACCTTGTTTTCCAGGACGTTTTAAACATCAATACGACCCTCAAATAGAGCACTGACCACTCCAAGCCACAAAGATAAGCTTTTAATGTGAATCAGACTGGCAGGACAACAGCACTTTACTTACATCTTCGTTACTTAGACCAAAACTCCTCAAAAGACGTGTGTGTGTGTGTGTGGGGGGGGAAGTGCTGTTACAGATCAAACTGCTCAACTGCAAATACCAAACATAAAAATCCTCACTGAGGGAGGCATTCCTAATGCTCTGTACATTTAACGTGATTTCCCTTGCCAGTTTCTTTTACTGGACCCATTGACCTTCCTGAGCTGGGGGGTGCATTTTAGATTTGAGATTCCCAGGAAGAATCTTTCCCATGGAACCTAAAGCCTGAATCAGAGGTGGGGCCATTTCCCCACAGCAAATGCACCTGCTTGCTGCTGCTTCTAGCCATTCAATACTACACACGAATAAGATACATGCCACGTTGCTCTATCAGAAAAAGTAGCAGTGACAGCAAAACAAAAATAGGAAAGAAAAGAAACTCTAAATGTGCATGAAGAGTAGTATAATTCTGTTAATCTCTGCAATTTTGCAGATGAAGCCAAAAAGAGCTGGGGGGAGAGGGGATGAAGGAGAGGCCCAAACATCTGCTGTACCTTTTATCTGCTTTCAGTGGTCATTTGTCAGAATTTAGCTGCTGTATGTCTTAAACAGATCATAGCAATAGTAGATGATGCTCCTTTATCTCGCTGATCTCTTCCAACCAATGCTTAGTTTGTCGTTGCAAGCGCAGCTTCGAAGCGCAGCACTGCAATTTGTTCAGCAAACAAATACATTTCTCGGGATTATCTGCCCACTGAGGGCACCTCTCAACACAGTGTCTTTAAGACCTGTTTAGGATTGCCCCAAAGTGTCTGAGATTCCGCCACCGAAGCCACCTAAGCTAAGACCTCTCCATCAGGCAGTAAATATTTATGTCTAGCAGCTAACGTTACTGATGACTGACAAATTAGGACACGAGAGCAAAATTCGGAAAGTGAATGGGCTGGAAAATAGGCAAGCTGTGAAAAACTACACTGAGGAGCAGAGCATTGGGCCAAATAATCCAGTATCATTCGTTTCAATCAGAATGCTGTGTTAACTTCACCAGACTATAAATACAATTACCCCAAAACCAAACCATCTCCAGTTGTAACAGTTGTCTCAAAAGCACAAGGGTGCATGTAAGCTGAACTGTTGACTTGTTTACACAGAACTGAATGCTTGAAATACAGTACTGGAATCCCTAAATGAATCTGCAATGTTTAGAAGAGGGGGGGAAAGCCCCACCATCTGAGGTTCTTTAAGGAGGGAAGAAACTTAATTGCAACAGAAATGCAAGTGATGCTTTAAAGTGAGCAGGTGAAGGTGAGGATACGTTTTTAAAGCAGATCACAATCCTTCTCACAGGATTGCTTTCCAGCAGCTGCATTCTGTTTAAGGAATTAATTTGGGTGGATCACTGGCTGCTGGGTCTGTTTATACTTAATAAAAACGAAGTTTCGGTCAATGGCAGGGAACTGTCATTGCTAGCTGCAGAAACAATAGAAATTCAGAACTACAAAAGATGTGCTGTATTCCGTTAATATAAATGAGAGATTTGGGCCGTGTAGAATGCTTCTCAAGACTATTTACAGTACAAGAAGGTTCTTGCAGGAGTTCAGATCTCGCCAGCTTCCCTCTCCTCCGACCTCTTTGAGCGAGATTTGCCATTGGTGCTCTCATGCCGTCGTTCAGAAGAACTCTTCTCTTTCTTCTCCCGGTCCCGCGATTTCTCTCTTGAAGACCGGTCCCTAGAGGATCTGAAGTACAAAGCAAGCAACATTATAGAGGATCCACAACAAAAGCACCACAGTTCAATCTACATATACATAAAGGTGGTCAGGAGAAGGAACTGTAGATACCTGTAGCTAGTTGGGGGAAAAAATCACTTTTCTGGATGGGCAGGCAGAGAAGAGGAATCCTCATTCAGCATAAGCTATCTAAAGTTGGTCTCAAGGATAATAATTCAAAGGCTGTTTTTATTTGAAATATAGTACATCAACCCCAAAGGAATGGCAAAGCAATACAAAAGAATATGTGAAGAACTCCCCAAAATATAATTCATGTTCTCCATATACAGCCCGTTGATTTTTGTGCATCAACAGAATGCTTCAAAATCAAGATTTAAGAGGACATGAACTCTTAAACAATGAAATTCTCCTAGACAAGAATGCCATTCAGAGGGTGTTGTCCTTGAGTCATTGGAATATAAATTAATCCCACTCTTCCAACTTTGTAGCAATGGATGGACTGCCCTATCTCAGAAGTCAAAAACAAGTTCCTTAAAACATTCAGTGAAAAAGTAGACATTCTTTACTGCTTTTATCAAGGCAATATTCATGTCCAGTAAATAAAAGCTGGTGATTAGCAAGACATGAAAAAAGCCTTGGAATCCAAACAGAATGGAGGACCTTCCCAAAGTGAGATTTGGCAATTAATAAATTCGCCCCAATGTCTGCTGGGACAGTTTCAAAACTTCTAAATTTAATTCAGTCTTACAATAATACATGCTTTTACTCATTCATCTCCTACAATTTGATGGCGATATCAGCACCAAGGAGTTTTTTTCCCTACTCTGCATCACATCAAACACAGAGATATTTTATAATATTCTATACAATTATCACCCACTCTTCAACTTCTCTCGTCAGTATCTGACCATATTGCAATTTGTGGTTCACTACACACATTTTTAAATTCCATTTCCACTCTACAGTTCAACCTTAATCTAGATACTGTATCTAGATACTGTTCTTCACAGGAACCAGTTCTATACTATAGTATTAGAGCTTCCCCGCTGACCCTAAAACCCAGCTTACCAAAGGAGCTCTCCAAGAATGACTTGGTCAAGGACATTATTGCCACCAGGTGCCAAGGAATCTTTAGGCAAGACAGTTTTATGAATGGCCCAACCTCTCTCCCCTTACGATAATAAATTCGCTTGCCCTCTCCTTCTGGGTCCAATCCATACTGCCACCCAGAGAAAAGCACAAACAATGACGTTAGTGCTCAAACAGAGGCAAAAAAAAAAAAAAAGGGAAGAAAAATAGAGTCAAGAATTCTTAAGGTTGATAAGATTCCTTCTTCAGCACATGTGCCTAGCTAGCAACCTTCAACACCAGCCTGATTGCTACAGTTTCAGTCTATAAAATGGGAAGCAGGTGATAAAGCTGGATAATTCCACTAATCTTGGGTCCTCACCCAAGTGAGCAATCTCCATTTTCTTTCAACCCTGGCTTATCACATGGGGTCAGAATATGCCATCTTTCAACTGCTAAAAGGTGGCAAGACACAAGGTATGAAACTAACTGAAATTGTTACTTTTGCAATTACAGGGCGATACTCTTAATTTGATTCCATCAAATCGTCTTCTCCAGCAGGATGGGCCTCCAAATGCATTATAATAAATCCCATCCTTTCTAGCTAGCATATGAAGGGAATCTAAAGAAGAGGTTTACCTTATGGGTTACAGAATTACCACTTGTTTTTAATTATTCCAGTGGCTCATTACATTTAAGTTGCTATGGACCTGAGTTGAAAATTAGGTGAAAACTTGTGTTCCAAAAGTTGTGCACCAAGAGCTTTACCTGAGAAGGAGTTCTTTAGACTCAGGAATAACCATGCTGTTTGAAATTAAAACAAGGGTGCCCCTCCCTCCAACAAAACCAGTCCCTGAATGACGCTTTCGTAATTCTGGAATGTAATACCAACGTACATGTCTATTACAAAAGAAATAAAAAAGATGGGAACAGTTCCACATCCATAAATAGGTTAATTCCTTTATCCAGCACCACCTCTTATATATATACTTTTTGCACCTGACAGGTACTGCTTCTTCTGGAGATGCTGAATTTTTAAGAAATTGCAAGAGATTGTTGTTTAAAAGGAATAAGAAGTTGTGCAATCTTTTATTTTCTTTCCAGGCTTCTGGCATTCCCCATTTTTCCAGAAAATATCCTCCATGCAATTCTTTTCCCGGGGGAGCACCTTATGAGCTACAGTACATTTGAGTTTTCTGAAGTCTTCCCTTACCTGCTCTTTAGCAATAGTAATTACAGGGTCTTCCTCATTTCCTAATTGTCCAAACTTCTTTTCTTTATTGTTCATGTTTAAGACAGATTTAAAAAATGATTTTAGTATCTCAACCATGATGTAATAGTTTCCACACATTTTCTAATATCCCTGTTTTTCAATCCTCCTTTTTGTGCAGAGAAAAGGGGTTAAAAACTCTTTATTTCTCACTTGCTCATCTAATGGGTGATGTTATAAATCTGGTGACTTTAGAGAACAGAGATTTTCAAAGGGGTTTGGTAAAAAAACTTGTATATGGGGAATCAATTACTTTCCTTAAGCTTTTTCTTCTATATGGGATAGAATGGTAAGTTTTAAATGGAACTACCAGCTACAAACTAGAAACTAAATCCATTCCAACAACATCCCCAATACTAATGTGAGGATCTCTTTTTTTTTCCCCCTGAATAGGAATTAAACCTATTAATTACTTTCTACATAACAGACCAGCACTAGTGGTTTGGGCCACTTTTGTGCATCAACGTACATGCCTACCCGTACATCTTTAGAAATGCTAACAAACATCTTACTGAGAGCAATATGCCAATTACTCACTAAGTAAGCAGCACGCCTTTAGGCAGAAACAAGTGTTTCGAAGAAGCAGGGAAGTCTTCTCTCACATTGTGGAAAACAGGATTTGCAGGTCTAGTGTGCAGTAAAAGGTATGAGTTCAAAATGGCTGCTGGAGCTTGTGATCTTTAAAGTGGATGAGATCGCTGCATGTTATATTCAAGGTTTACTGTAGGAGAAAACAGGAGCTACGCCTTCCCTGCTTCTTTGCATCATTATGACCACGCTTTTTAACCCAACGCACTGATGGCTTTGGGAACTGGCACCACAATTTCTAAATATATCCTAGTTTCTTTCAGCTTTCATCTCTGGTTTGAAATCAACATGTTTCCTCTGGCTAAACTCCAAGCCAAACAAGCCTTCCCCCAAAGCAGCAGTGAGAAATGCTGGCCATACTTATGTTTGGAGCTCCTGTCTCTGGATCCACGTCGGTGGCCCCGACTATGACTTCGGGAACGGCTACGGTGGCGTCGGTGCCTCTCTCGTTCTCGAGACTTGGAGCGGGATTTTCGCTTCTCGCGGGAAAGGGATCGTGAACGTCGCCGCCTCCGCTCTCGAGATCGTGATCTGCAGCAGGACGATCGAACAAAATTCAATCCAGTGATACAGAAGAGCTTTACATTAAAAGTCACTGGATTTCCTCACTGTCCCATTTGAAAGGAAATCCCTTTTCATGTACATGTATTATTTATGCCTGACTTTTCCTCTAGGAGGAGACAAGAGTTTGCCTGTATTTTATCTCCCAAACAACTATGCCAACATTGTACTAATCACTACTGTATTTCCACTGTCCAAGTATTAAGATAAGTGTGCTTTTATATGGATGAAAAGACCATCCTTAAGGATCATTATTTTAAGCTCAAGTAAAAACAGATTTTTATTCTCTCCTGTTTTCAAGGGCATTCAGCAATTTACACAATTGTCACTGGCTCCAATTAAATAATTAATGAATGAATGGCCTCTTTACATAGGAAAATGTTGGCTTTTATTAAACAATGATCTAAGTAATTTTCAGATTATGCCCACATAAATTAATGACAGAACAGAAGGGCTTAGTCTTACCGTGCCCTTTCAGCCCTGCCTTATAGTACTTCTCAGGACAACTCTACACATCTGAGCTACAATTATATAGAGACTTATACAAGAAAGTCATTGGAAGGTACATAGCCCATACACCCAAAGGCTAGGGTTACAACTAAAACTTTGCACAACGATGTTCCAATTGTTTACTGATATTCCTTCAGACTTTTTACAACCGTGAAGAATAGGAAGCCACTGTTTTTCCAGCTTCAATTGCATCATGCAGGAAATACATCTTTTACTTTGTTTTGCATAAGACATATATGCACTGTTTCCACATAAAAAGCCCACCTCCCATTTAAGAAAGATGAGACAGTTGTGTTTTAGAGAGACTCTCCGTGGAGAAGGAGCTTTCTCTTCCCAACAGCTATAGCACATGCAAGAGAAGTGCCAGCTAAAAGTAATTTTCACTCTTAGTCTCTGCTAAAAGGAGAATGTGATGCCAGCATGACAGCATCTGCAATGGATCCGTGCAGAATTCTAAATGATGGAGTGCACTGGCTCCTGGAATTGAAATTCCCTTTCTCTAAAGGTGAGACTACCTAGCTTTTTTGGGGAGAGAATGCTAAAGGCCTCATGTGGCCTTTCAATTGCCTGTGGGTGGGTTGGACCAGGAAAAAATTAATTCAAATTAGTTAAGAACTACTGATATGCTAAAACACAATATATTTAATAGTCCTTGTTCACATAAAACAATACAGTTCAGCAAGTACATGGGGTGGTGTGTGTGTGGGTGTCCTGAACTTTGTAGCGGATTTCTGTTCCACAGAGTGCTGATGAGATCACCAAGCAGTTGAGCAACTCAAAGTTACTTTCATATATCAAAAAGCCACCATAATTTAAAAGAGTGGAACTCCAAGGGTACCAACCCAGTATAGTTCAATTCAGTGGCAACTCAACAGGTGGGTCCTGCTACAGGCAGAAACAGTAACAGTCCAGGAAGGATTGGGGGACTTTTCTGCTTTCGTGTCTGGAGAAAGCCAGCAAGTGGAGAGCTGCAAAAAGTTATCAACGAGCTCATCTCAAACGAAAGACCATCACCTCAATGACTATACACACGTACCTTCACTCACACGCATACAATCTCTCTTACCTTCTGCGATCTCTATTTCTTGATCCAGATCTAGAAAAAAGGAACAGCATTTATTTCAGAGAAGGGGCTGGAGACAGTAGGCATGCAGAGTTATGAGCATGTTCTGATTAAACAGGATTCTTTGCTCTAAAAAGCCCTGCACACTTTTAAGACCCCAGAAGATAACATGTTGAAAATGATTTTAAAGTAATTCTAAATAGCGGAAAGACAATCGTTTAATCAACACTTTTCATCTTCTATCAGGCAATCCTGTTACTATACTTTTGACATCTGTTTGAACTTCCACATTCCTCCTCCCACTTCCTAAATTTTACTGACTTCAGAGAGCAAGGCACCACATAGGCGTGCACTGCCTGGGGATCAAATGTAACTTAGCTTCTACCGTGCCATTTCTTTGAAACCTTAATACAGCAGCAGAAACTCTCTTATGCCACTGTGACAGGAAGCAACACACACATAACCACCCCTCCTCTGCAATCCCTCACCGTTGTCCCACACGCTCTTCTCGCTCTCTTTCTTCCCTCCTCCTCAACCGGTCCTGGTTTCTCTTCTCCTGCTTTTCAGCTACGGTTTTCTAGAGCAAGACAAGAAACGTCGTCAAATGTAGTTGTGCTCTACATCAAAAGGATTCCAGCAGTTAACAAGGAAGAGTCATTCAGAGACATCTGGTGACATCATCCTCTCCTATTCGGAAGTTCCTATATAACAGGTGAGACAAACCTGACAACGGCATATTAAACGTAAATGCAGCAGCTAAAGGAAGCAGATTAGAAAAAAAAATTCAGCTACTTAAAAGCAGCACCAAGTAGTTAGTATGTAGAAACCACTTAAGATCATTATCTGAGTACATTATCGTTATCTACATTGGTACATCAGTATATTCCGATACATTCCTGATATTGGGTCTGCAAATCTCAATCAGCATGGTCAGTGTGCCCACCAACAGCTTCAGGACTAACACCTTTACCCAACAACCAATAAGCAAATTATTAGGGAGTTGCAGAGATTAATGTGAAACAGGCAACAGGTTAATATCAAGGCAGAAGCTGAAGTGGGAGAAAACAGCTCCCATGTGAGAATAATTTGCAAAAATATCAAATACCCAAGCCTGAAGAAAATGATCCTATGAGAAATTCTTCACAGAATTTTTGAGGAAAGCCCCAAAAAACAAAACAAAAGAACGAGATCAGAATCCCCCTTTAGAGCTTAGCACTCTACTACCAATGTTACTGTAACTTGCATTAGTCTTTAACTTCTTCATGATGAAAGAACGTGGTGCTTCTCATATTCAGGCTGACGAAGTTCAAAACAGGGGGCAAAGCAGCAACAGAAACCTCAGCCGCACACTGATTTTACACGTGCATTGGCTGAAAAAAAGTGTTGGTCTCACATACAGTACCTGAGGTTACCTCTCAAGATGAGAAATATCAGAAATGTTTACTTAAAAGAATAACAGACTTGCCTGTTGATAATGACAAGTTTTAGTTTCAATCTATGGATCTACCCAAAGGCCAAAGGCAGCAATTTAAACAGGAGGGTCAAATTCATCCTTAACTCTAATAAACAGTTCTGACTCACATGGGCCTGTTTACCTGATGACAACCATGCAACTGCACAGAACACCTCACATCACCTCGATGAGGTCAATTCATACATACAATAGCACACTATTAAGAATTGTATAGGTATTAAGCAGAGAAAAATCAAGGTACATACACATGAACTTAATCACGGGTGTATAAAACTATCCCTACTTTATAGGACTGTCTGACTGTCTCACCCACGATTAAGTTTGAAAGAGAAAGAGCAAACTCAAATATTGATTCACCTAGACCAATATTGTGTGTTCTGAAACCACAGCACAAAACATCTCCATCCTCTGCTACCCAACTGTTTTAATTAAAACTGTCCAGACTGACTTCAAGGCTCTCTTCATGCAAAACATTACTTTACCTCTGAGTAACTACAACCCTTACCCGCAACTGGTCCAGTTTCTCACGGATCTGAATGAAGCCCAAATGCAATTTGCCTCCAAAATGATCAGCAAGACGACGATCGTTGTCATGGAGACCGAGGTATGCAGAACAGACCTCACAGACACGCAGCTTCTGTTGCTGGAAACTGGATGCAGGCATAGAATTGCGGTATTCCTCCTATGGAAGATTAGAAACAGCTTAGAATTAAAACTACCCCAAGCTCACTTTTCTCAGTCTTCCTTCTCTCCACCTCAGCCAATGACTCATCATTACCAAGCAATTCTTTTTAATAATTCATGCAGCATTCTTACCTAATTATAACACATCACAAAGAATACTAGTGACACTAATCTAGCCACAAATCATCTTATTATGCACTGGCTTTGGTGGTTAAACTGCTAATTAGTTACCACATTTTCTGTGAATGATAAAAATACTACTTATTTTTATGTAAGTATCAATTACATTTCCAAAAATCCCCATCTCAGGAAAGTAGTAAGCTGCATTAGTCAAAAAGAAGATAAACATTACATTTTCCTTCTCCATTTTTAGACTAAGGTAACTCCACATTTTGTTTTGTTACTTATACCCTGGCTTTCTGTGGTGGCCTTTGGCTAAGCAAAGAGTAAATCAAAACTTCTGCATATCCAACTTGAATAAGGTAAGAGCAAAACCAACCTCTGCTTCTTTCTTCTTGGCACGGACTTTCTCAACTTCCATCAGGATCTTCTGGGATTCATCCACATTCCCTTCAGCTCCTAACTGCTCAGCTTTAGCCAGGAGCTTGCCGATGTCTTCATTGAGTTCGTGCACTTTCTCTGCCTGAAGAGTGGAGACGGGTTTTGGTCATCAAGGGAATAAGCCGTGTTTTCCAGCACTTTTGCTTCTTGGGCAAGCGAGGGACGTTGTTTTTTTTAATGATCAGAAGAGGAATAGATCACCTCTTTGGGGTTGAGGGGTACTCCTAAACTTGAAATCAGGGGCTCCATATCAAAAAAACAGGTGGGTCAAGGACAAAAAATTAAATCAATCCATTTTTAGTTAAAGTTGAATAAAAATCCAATTAATTTAAATGCTATTAAAAGAGAAAAATTGTCATCCTATGACACCCTGTTTGGGTTAACAATTTTCCTCTTCTGTCACGTTAAAGAGCTTGATCTGATGGCAATTTTGGAGGGATTCAGGGCAGCACCCAAGTCTTTTGGAGGGTCCATATACAGCCCTCGTGGAAGCAATATTATTTTTTGATGTTCTGGCATGAAACAGGTTTAAGAGAAAGCATGTTCATTTTTAATCTCCTGGTTCAACACCTGCATCTTTGGCTTTGTAATGAATTTTAGCACTGGTAGAAAGCCATGAGACAAAAGTAACTAGTAAGTGAAGCAATTATTATATATTGTAAAAGCTCTGTTTTATTTATTTAGCATGTGAAGCATGAATACACCATATCAGCAATTCTCCACATAATCTATTAGATAAACTAATGTTATCCCCAACGTAAATGCTGAACTTGCAGCTATGCTTTTTATTTGATTTTTAGATTTATATTCCATCTTTTTAAAGGAATTTCAAGGTGGTTTGAAGAAGGACTCAACTTAAAATTCTACAACATGATACTTCCAGCTCTTAGTTATCTCACATGTCTTAGCACAGATGTTAAGTATAGACTGTCACTGAAGCAGCGTATGAAACTACAGACTAAGACTAGCCAGATGGGGTTTGCCTGATCAATGGCACAGACAACCACTGGAAGCCTCACGTAACAGCCAGTTAGGAGGCTGTGAACTCCAGGAGCCTTACCATTTTACCAAGAGCACAATTGCACAACTCAAATACCTTTGCAGCCACTTCAGCGCTGATCTCCTCCTGAGTTTCTGCAAGTCGTTTTTTAGCCAGTTCTGTTCTTCTATCACACTCAGCAATGAAAGATTCCAAGTGGTCCATTGCCTGATTGCATAGACACAGACAGCGCTAACGTTAGGAAACCATTCCTCCACGTTATTTCAGGAATAAAAACCAAGGGATGAAGACAGTATCAAAGGGCAATAGAAAAATCCTTCTCTTAAATGCAGAGCCCAATTTCCCTTTATTTCTTGTTGTCACCAATGACTGTTGTCATCTCACTTCAAAAAAAGATAAATAAAGAGATGGAAACAAGAGATTTTCTTCTGAAGAAGAACTGGAAATGTTATTTATAAAACTGTTCCCTCATAGCTAAAGTAACAGCCTAATAATATTGCAGCACCATTATAGAATTATGACTTCATAGTAATATTGGTTTAAGATTAATAGTCAGTAATCAACAATATAAAGGAATTGGTTTAAGATCAATAGTCAATAATCAACAATATAAAGGAAAGGAGAACACACTTAGGTAAAAGTGTAGCTTTTAAAGCACGAAGGACTGTTTTAAGACAAGATATGAGTGGTAAGTCAGAATCCTCTGAGCAAAGAGGATTCAAACGCTCTCCAAAGTTGACATGGATAACCAAGTTTTAAATCATAGTATCTGGAATTTGAAGAGGCTGAATTTAGGAGGACAGACTACCTGATCAGTAGTCTCCACTCTTCTGTGAAGCGGGGCTCTATCTGCAACTGATTCACACAGAGCAAAAGTGCTTCTGGTTATCAGCATTTACCATTACATATGCTGTAAATTAACCTGCTACAGCTCTGCCCCACACTGAAAATTTGAAGCCTGTGACAAGCAGAGAACCTTGAAGCTTCCTAGAATAGTTTTGTCATAAATGAGTACCTTTCTTATTAATCTCATTACAATAAAACATGTAACATTGTCACAGATTTGCATAGCCCAGAACCTGCTACATGTTTTGCACAGGCCACACAGCACTTACGCCTACTGCAATAATCTTACATAACAGAAAGAATATAGGACTGTTGCCCAAACTTGTATCTGTTTATTATTATCAAAATATAAATCACTTACATCCAGCTCAAAGAACAGGTCCCTCTCTTTACTTGCAATCTCGTAATCTGCTCTTAGCGCCAAATCATGAATTTTTGTACACTCCCCAAGGTCCATGCGCTATTGAAGAAAAAAAGGGGAGTGGGAGGCAATGTCATCTGAAAATCAAGTGTGCCACCACAAGCAAAATATGAAGCCGCTCGCGATTAGCAAATACATTAATTATAATGGTGTATCAGGTACTCGGCTTGTTTCATATTCCCAAGACAATCATACAGATTGGATTTTCCATGGCAATACAGCAATAGTAATATTGGGATATTTTAATACTTATAGAAGGTTCTTCTACACAAACTGGGGTACTGTTATTCCAAGTAAAATACAGGATCATAGAGCACAATTTCATGGAATCCCTCTGGGATGTATCCTTCTCATTTTAAGTCATCTAATTTGAGTGACTAGATGATGCATGCAACCATTTTTGAAAATGACCCTGAAGCTTCATGTGACCCAGCCAAACGGCATCATATTACAAGGAGCTGCATATCTGCTTTTGGGTTGGAGCTTACTTTTACAGCCCTGTGTGGAATGGTTTGGGATCCTGTTTCCTAAAAGGACACCTCTTCCTTTATCAGCAGCACCATTTTTTTTTTCTTACATTTTCCCAAGCATGATTGCCCCATTATACTGTTATTGCCTTTTAAAACTGCTTTATTATTGTCACACACCACCTGATTACCTATTTAATAAAAATAAGTAACTTAAACATTTTAAACTTGGTACTTTAACTTTAAACTATTAGAAAAAAATGAAGTTGAAAATATTTACATTTTCATATTTCGCAGATATCAAAGCCTACAATGCCACAATACCTAAAGCTTTTTTTTCTGTTTTGGTTTATGCCCACAATTGTATAGAGCATATTTCAGGTGCAAAACCAAACCACTTCTTCCAACTTTGTGCCCTCCAGAAAGGTTAGATTTGAGTCCTATCCTTCTATCCAACATGGCCACTGGCCACACTACTTGGAAACCCGGGGAGTGGCATTCCAATATAGCTGTAGGGAGCAGGATGAGGAATGGTGAAATAAAGCAGTGACCAGGATGAGTACCATTAGAAAGGGGACTTACCGTCCCTGCTAGAATATCATGAGGGCAACAGTCCAGAAGATGGCTCTTGCAGACTCGTTCATCTGTAAACTTCACCCTTTGTCTGGTTTCATCTCCTGAAATTCATTTTTGGTTATAAATATGAAAAACTGTTAAATGTTGATTAAGCAAGGTAAATTATGTCACGTTTTATTTTGCCTCATTATGCAGACAAAAATCATTCACGAACCCCAGAACTGCTCAGAAAATTATAAAAGCGTAAGTTATGGATTCTTTTTCTTTCACAGCTGAGAATCAAACTATGCACAGCATTTAATATCACATGCACCACTTACTAAGTATGGTGCTGACCATAATTAGATCCGTAGTCAGATATTTATGTAAAAAAACAATCTGGGTCCAGACCACAGAAGATCTTTTCTACAGAGAAAACAAAGGTTCAGAAAACCAAAACCCATACTAGCTGAAGGCCGTGAATCACACCCAGAAATTTTAATAGGCAGCCATTTATGAATCAAGTATCTTTTCATTAAGTACTGATTCATACATATTAACACACATTGAATCTCTAAAGGCCACCAGAACTTTAAGATGTTTGTCTAAAAAGTGATAATTATCTTATGCCTCCCCTTCCCCACCCTCATTTGGGAGCCACTTAAAACAAGCAAAAAAAAAAAAAGTTAGTTGATACACACTGCGAGCTCCAACACATACTATACCCATCTGCATTCTTCAAGACCTCAGCTGCAGAATTTTATGCCCGCTGTTGAAAAGTTTTAAAGGAAAAGTTTTCTTGCCCAACCTGCAGTAAGGAAGTCAGGGGAATGATACATAAAAAGTAAAGGCAAAGTGGTAATGGTATGTGACAATTGTTTTTAAAAAGCTAGTCTGTGTATGACTATAGATCAGGATTCGCAAGCATCCTGTTGTGTCTACTGAAAATGTTTTTTTTTTCTTTTTCCTTCTTTTCTAAGCTACACTTTTAAAGTTACTCGTGAAAAAAAGCAGCAAACACTTTTTTTGTTATAACAGCTTTAAAAATTGGTTGTGACTCACGGCTCGATGAACATGAGGCTTTTCTGCAACTCCCTTGCAGATTGATGTAGGCAGGCAAAGATACACTGAACCTTTATAAATAAAATAGAGGGGCCACAATTGTTCAGTTTGTATGAAATAAAAATATGGGAAGCAATTAGAAAACAACTCAAATACACAAAGAAAGAACGAGCACTTTATTCATTTACGAAACCAAGTGCAAAAAGTTATCTGCAGAGTTGTGCAAATGTGCCAGACTTTCAGTTGCCGATTTCGAGTAGGGAAGCAGATACAAACCTTGTCAGGAATGCACAGCTTTTCAAGGGAAATATTTTTCTGGGGCACATACTAAAGTCCTCTTTCTATGCAAAACAGGCCTACCTTCATGTTTTTACACACGAAGCATTATGTCTACAGGCGAGTCTACAAAAGAAAAGCCTCACCATGTAAAACCAGAAAAGTCAAGCTTTCAACTCATTACACAGAGCTACAGCCGACATATCTGGGGTTTAAAGCCTTATGTTTTATAGGCAGCTTCAATTGTCCAAGTTATAAAAACTTAGTGTAATATGTATTCCTTGCCAATGCTTTCGAGAAAGCCCTATAAATGTACTGTATACACCAAACCCTATGTTAATTTCAAAGCCTGATTGTTCCCCTCATACCATCTGTACCAGTGTTTTATATTACTGAGCAGATGTTTCCAGGGATCAGATGTTACATCGAGAACTCTACCACCTGCTTGAGCAGGTATTTGGACTCGGGCACCAAGAAGATGTGATGACGCAGGTGCCAGGGACTTGTCTATCCTGCTTAAGCACCTGTCACCAGGCGCTGCGCCGAACACCATTTTGCCACCCATATTACTATGACCAACACTATGCTGGCCAAGCTGCTCCTCTGCCAAACTAGCCCAACTGGTTTGGCTTTCAGCTGCCTTTGTTTTGCTGTTGTACTTAGTTTCCTTTTGCTAAAGATGGCCTGGATAACTAAACAAGAACTTTGCCAAAGGCTAAAGTCCATTTTTGGCTGCCCAGTTTCCACAATGGCCAGCAACTACCTCTTGGAAAGCGCATCAGGAGAGCATGAAGACAGCAGCTCTCACTAATCTCCCCCCCAAAATTTTTACCATAGCGAAGTATACACTGCCTCTGGATTTGGAAGCTCCACTTAATAACACCAACTGAAGCAGCATATTGCCCCTCCTCCTCCTTTCAAATTACATTCCCCTACAGCCACCATGAGCCTTTCCTTTTTTCCTCCCACAGCCTATTTGTTTATTTCTTCGATTTATATAGCCGTGTATCCAGATCAACCCCAAGGCTCGCATTTTATGCCACACGGGGTTTTCCCCAGGCAGAACCAATGCAAGGGCTCAAGCCAGGAAACCTGTGAAATAACAAAGCCAAAAATAATAGTAATAAATAATAAGAATAAATAAAAAAAAAATTTCTTTTTAGAAAGGAAGAGCGACTCTGGCCAGGTCCTGGATGCTGATCCTTCACAGCCTGCCCCAGCCCCGAATGTCTTCAGGGATTAATCCTCAGGGAAACCCCAGAATAACAGCGCTGCTACCAGTGCGGTATTATTGGGGGGGGGGGGTAGAAGGGGGTCGCAGAGAGAAGCAACGCCTGCCTGTCCCTGTCAGGGGCGGAAACACCTCGTTGTGCCAAGCAGGGAGGCCAAAGTGGGGGGG